AGTGATAAGCCAAGAAATGAGGCCACTGGTAAAAATTGCACCTTTCAGGTGTTTTGTTCGTCGTGTGTATGGTCGGACATGTGCTGCGTCCGTGTGAAATCGTCTCTTACTAAACGAGCGAACAAGAAGGACTCTTTGCGAGCTTCACCTGGTTTCAAGGTGATCCACCACTTTCTTTTCTCTCCCAGCTGATGTAAGCAGCGAAGGTCGAGCAACGGCAAATGGCTTCACTACTCACACATGCGGTCCACCCGAAGTCTTACTGTACTGTGCTTGTCGTTGGCTGATCCAGTGGATCTGGTAAAGGCTCCGAAGAAGGCGAACTCGCCGAAACGTTAGCCAATAAATTGTCAATATCAACCTCGTGTGCAGTTCAACAAAGTACACCATCCAATCACTAACATGCCGAGGTTCATCGAGAGTCGAGCATGGCACTCACACATAGTTGAGAATCAAACCCGAATGAACCTCGTCGAGGTCAAGCAGAGCAAGCGTTTCTATATGCTGGAAGTTGCTGCCGAACTTGTACGAAATAGAGCCTCAGAGGACGCGAGGTTAGGCCGATGTCAAACTTTGCGAATCGGGCGACCCGCTAGCGTCCGCGGTTGCGTCGCGGCCAGCGAATTGCTCTTCTTCGCAAAGTCTGAAATCGACCTTATACTCTGCTTGTTGCTGGCGCACAATATTCATTATATTTAATTCAAAATACCATTCAAAAGCAATGTAAGTGCGAATGGAAGTGGAATGTGAGGCGCATCTCGGAGAGACTATTCAATCAACCACGAACGGCTATCCTTTGTTCTTACTCATCTTTGGTTTTTGCGCCGTACACGGGGTCACTGAAATTTGAACTTTATTTCAAGGTGCTTCGGATGGACATGTCGTACTACCATGGCTGTCGTCTGGTCGTTTGTTCTCCGCTTCCGTCTCCGATTCTGTCGTCAGTTTCGATTCGTCCAACCTCGTTCGTCATAACAACAGCAATCGATCTTTCAATAGTCTACGTTGATGCCAGGTCGGAGATCATCGAAGAACTTGGGTTTTTAGGGGCGGGATACTGTTGGGAAGAATAACTGTTCTACTCGTTTGAACTGAGTTGATAGCAAAAGTCAGTACAAATTGTCCTAACACAATCTTTTGACATTCAGAGCGGAGGAAATGTTCCGTGAAAGCTTGAACCGCACTGCTTCGAGTCTCAAAGGAGTTTCATTCTATTCAATCGTTCACGTTGATGATGCCGATGTCGTCCGTAAAATGCACACTGAAGGTAAGCACCCCATTTTCAAACCCGCCCATTATCCAGCCCCCCCCCTTTGAATGCGTACACATTGAGTCACGGGTGCGGACGCTAAACAACCCGTCCTATTGCAGTCCAGGGACCGACGCAACAACCCCCTGCAGGGGATGGATCCCCTTACCCGCGTCGGGTACATTGCCAACCTCGATACATATGCCCAACGCGAGCCACGCATCCCAAACCTCAGAGACAGTCCTGTAATGCAGCAAAAACAGTTCTAGGGTTTCGTCATAGGACCCATCATTCTTGATGGGTCTCATCGAAACGACCATTTGCTGGTTCTGTCCACTCTCTGCGTCTCTGCCGGTTGGGGTTATACCCACCTAGTGGAGACTCGGGTGATACGATTGAGACGACATAGGGTCGATGCAGTGACATTTGAATGGATCATCGTAGTTGGTGCTGTCCTGACACGAACCTTTGACGGTTTTTAGCGCAGACAGGGACGGAGAGAGGACGATGATGTCTCCCCGAGGCAGACATTGGATCGGAGGGGTTTCATGAACGCCGCGGGCTGGCTGCACCCGACCAAATGGAGCTGCATCCTTCCCTCCCTGTGCTGGCAAAATCTCTTCCAGGTGGTGTGTGTAATTCCAGCAGATAGCATCTTTTTTCACATGTGATCCAATGTCGCATGTGGAAAAGGCCGCAAATGCTGCCGTATTTATTTGATGGGCAGGAGTCGAGTACTAGCAAATGGCGCTGCTTACTACACTGAAGGTCCAGGGATCGAAACTTGGCTGGTACGCGCGTCAGGCCAACCATTTGGACGATTAATTGCTCAATATCTGGACGGTTGACATTGGCAACTCTTATTCACGTCTGGTGGCCTGCCAACCATTTGTATAGGCTCAGCATTTAAGTTGTTCTTACGATTTCGACGGGAGATAAGAATGTTGTGAGGCGCATCCAAAAAGGTGTTGGTCAACTCTGAATGCTTTACCTTTACCTTTTTCTGTTGCTTGGTTCCATTATATTTGCCATTATCCCTTAAACAATGAGTGCCACCTGAACGAAAAAGTAGGACCCGAATCCTAGCTAAGAGAGAGAGCTCGCGATATATTGATGTGCATGAAAGAGAAGAATGGGTAGTGGACGAGTAGGAGAGGCCCAAGTAGACAAAATGAGGTGCATTCGCAGAAGACTGCCCTATCAACAAAATTGTTAGTGCCAAAGTGTACAACGGATGCAGACTTACCGTATCGTGATGTGCTTGCGCACTTTCTACTCAGAAGTTGCCTTTTATGTCAAGTCGACTCACTTGAGTTCTACAATTTCAAGCTTTTCGCTTCGCGTTGAATGATTCTTCTGCCGCAGTGCGAGAGCGACGTGTGTTGCAATGTTGCACATGACTAACTACAATCGTATCCAATGTTGGAGCCTAAAGGCTCAAAGTGTGCAAAGTTGAATTTTGCGAAAAAACAAATTCACAGCTCGCACAGCCTTCCTCCTTCCTTGGCGCACCATCGCGCGGAGAGGAGCCGCCCCACCGCCGCGTGCCCCTCTACTTCACCTACCAGGAAAGGACGATGAGTCAAAGTGGCCATATCCGATGAGAGATAGACTGTTCGGCCGCTGACCTAAACCTGCTTTCAAAACTGCCATTCGATTTGCTGAACGGAGTTATGAAGAAAGGTAGAGCAGCGCTAGTGGATCGAGAGGTCTGACGGATAATTTGGCTACAAATTTGTTGGGAGCCTTTTTCAGCCATGTTGCCACAAAGGCAAAAGGGAGAACCCGTCAGGAATCGATCCTCTCACCAGTGAGCACTGACCACACCGCTGCACTATTTTGCTTCATAACTCCGTTCAGAAAATCGTTTGGCAGATTTGGAAAGCAGATTCGAGATCAGCGTCCAAAAACACATCTGACCAGGTCTCATTGCATATGGCCACTTCGACCCGTCATCCTTCCCTGGTTAGCTCCGAAAAACAGTAGACATTTTTTCTCCAATTTTTTTCGTTTTCCTCTGCTATTTACAGCTGAGCTAATCGGCTATTTTGCAGTGTTCAAACTCGAGTCGTACCGCCCTGTAATCTACCGTATGCTCATGGTTCCCGGGCAGCACTCATTCTACGTTGAGGTTGGTGAACTCTTTGCGAGGCATTCTCATCATGGACGAGATGAGTGAGCACACAATAAAACATTCACATCCATGGTCAAAATAGGGAGTCTTTGTGGAAAACCTCTCAAAGATCGACCGTTGGTAGAAATACGAATGAATCAGATCATCGAGAATTTCAAAACGCTTTTATTGACTGAAGCAGCATCCGGTTGTGACCTGTGACCAACTTGAATCTCTGACCACTCTAGTGCTTCACTTTGGAACAATGCCAACTGAAATGGCACCATTTAAGAGTATTCCGTCAAAGCTTTCAAGACTCTATAGCAGACCTTCTAACGGTCTTGCATAAACGCTAGCAGTGATATTTCCTCACAGCATCACAAAGGGGTTCGTGTTACAAATTTCTGCAGTTTTACGAAATGCTTTTGTTTCAGTCCAACGTCTTCCGCTACACCTCGCAGTCAAACAAAGCCATCGTCGACACTATCACGATTGTATCGAGCATTTTATGAAGATCACGTGGGATGCCGGGCTCGAATGTCAAAGACCGAAGGGTACCAGCTGGTCGAATACATCTTGAAATAATGCCAGCAATGTGTTCATCTGAATTGGATCCATAAAATCACTGCTGTTGTGAATGTGATTTCACTTGGAAATCCAAGAGAATGA